TGAGTGTTCTTCAAGCTAGACAGCTTTTAGAAGTCTTATTGAGTCAAGGAATCATGATTGACTTATCAAATAAGTCTTGGTGTCGTTCCTTTTTCTTTTTAATTTTCCAATTATCTTGATAATTACATTCCATATTGGTGGGTGAAATTATCAAGTAGGGAGGGTGAATTAGGTGGTTGAATCTTTTGATCACGTGTTGTGAGGTTCTGGGAGTATTACGATCATTTCAAGTCCCTCTCGCGTCAAAAGGCATGCAAGATTCTACCCGCCTCCACCTACAAATCGGAATCGCAAGCTGCAAAGTGAGGGAAGTACTTAACGAATGCGACCAGATCTGGAAGAGAGATGAAGCATGACCAAATCTAGAAGACAAGAAAGCGCAAATAGAGAGGAGAGTAGATATGACAGAGAAAAGAAAACGGACTGGTGGAGAGCGCAAGCACGAACAGAAGATGGAGAGATGACTGGCTTGGTGAAGGCTTATAAGCAATCTAGTGGAGCAATTAGCAGAATGCAGAAGCTGAACACGACCCAAGTAGAGAACTCGAAGCGATCTGGTGGAAGGCAATACCAAAGCGAGCTTATTGGAGAGCAAAAGGACAAGTAGGAAGGCATAAAGTTTTTGGGGAGAGGAGTCGAGAAAAGTAATCAAGTAATATATTTCTTTAGCTTTCGATTTACATATTTGTGGGTAGAAATTTTTAGAAATATTTTTACGAAACTTGAATGCTAATGTTTGAAAATTTTTAAAGATTTATTCTTAATTATTACATGATTATCGTTTTCTCAATTATAATTTTTGTTGTTCAATCCATCATGTGTAATTAAATTTTATTCGTTAGAGTGATAGATGTAACCTAAATTAATGATATGTTTGAGGTTTGATTATTAGCTTTCTTTTGGTTACAATTTACTAATATTAAACTTAATTCAATTATGATAATTGACCACCCCACGATTTTATTTATGATTGATGGTTTTAGAGTAAAATGAGTGAAATTTCATTAATTAGACTTAATTGTGACTTGGATGAAAGTAATAAAATCAAATTAATATGGAAAAATTGAACTATCAAAGAATTAATTGTATCAAATTAATAATTGTTATAAAAGATTAATAGTTATTAATTGATATACCTAGGGAATACCAGGGAGAATAATAAAAGTACTTTACGTATTTCAACCATTGCAAACTAGATTAAATTGATTGCGAAATTAAAACTTAAGTATAGCGAAGATTCAGGTAAAATCAATTACTCGAGTACATTTAGGTTGATAATTTTTCTAAATTTATTTATTTCGCTTTGATTAAGTCTTTTTAATTTCTTTTTTGATAATTATACTTTTGATTTCTAGATAATAATAAGATTTTTTAAAATTTTGATACTTGATACAGAATCTCCGTGGGACTATACTCTTATTATTATCTATTACTTGAATAATTTCGTGCACTTGTAAATTTAGTTATCAATGATTTTTATTTAAGTTCATCATTAAAAAATATCTGGAACAATCTCTCTCTTATTATGGAACTTCATGCAATTCTAAATATTCAAACATTTATAACTCTTTTAATTTTCATCTAAATTATGTAATTTTAGTGTATATTGAAAGCTTATTATATATATATATATATAAATATATATTATGGATGAATTAGTTTAGTGGTGAAAAATTAGGCAGAAAAACCAAAAAAGTTAGGAGATTATATTGTTGCGACATTCGTAGTTGTTTATAATCATAAGTTTTCAAAAATTCATAACTTTTTCAATTCTCATTCGAATTATGTATCTTAGTGCCTGTTGAAAGCTTATAAAGTTAGATTATAAATAAAGTAGTTTAGAGGCTAAAAGGTTGCCAAAAAAAGGGATGCAATCGAAAAATTATTGTAGGTGATTTGCGTTCTACTAAAATATTGAATCTTTAAAAATTCATATCTTATTCAATTATAATCTAAATCATGCAATTCTGGTGTTTATCGAAAGCTTATAATATGTAGATATAGAAATATATTTGTTTGGTAGAATGTTGAAAAAAAAAGATTAAAAAATGGACAAAATGTTATTGGTACACCCCTTCTCCATTTATACATATATATATCATTCTTTTAACTTCTATATCTAAATATCATGCACTTGGGTTCTAATTTGGAGTTTAAAACACTTAGCTTCTTCTTGAAACCTCTCTCTTCTTCATCCCCTTGATTTTTTCTTTTTTATTCTTTTTTTAGGGTTTTAAAAGTTTTTTTTTTAACTAAACCTTAAAAATTAACTCTTATACATAGGCTTACTATTTCAGTACTTACAAAAGAATCTAATAATTTATAATAAATTATAAAATAATCCCGTAAGTTTTATAAAATAATAATAAAATTTCTTTTGATATCGAAACTAACAAAAATAATTATTTATTTTACTGGGTTTTATATTACAGTAATGGTGTCACCTACTCAACAAGAAAATCCGTCTAAATCATGTGACTTGCTTATAGTAGGGGGAGTATCATCTAAGGACATAAAACTTTTGAGCTTGGGTTTGATCATATGCACCCTAATGGAGAGCCTAATCAAGTGGTTTTTTAGCCAAGTGCATGAAGAGATGTTGGAGGAAGCGAATTCCCCATAAACAAGTACAGAGCTTCACTTATTTATTATCTATGAACTGTACGAGATCATTATTTTCCTTTAAATTTTTTAGTAAATTACAATCTCACCCCCAATTTGGCTTGACCTTATTGTTAATTAAATTTCCTATGATTTTTTTTGTACCAATTCAATATATTGTATTTTAAATTCTTCTATTTTACACAAAATTACTAGTATTTTGAAAGAAATATGGTTGTCTAAATTTTAAACACAAACATACAAAACTTCAGGCTTCGTAAATAAAAATTTTAAGGGAAGAAATAAAATAATATCACCATAATAACGATATTTGTCCTCATTAAATAGAAAGAGTCATTAAAAAATTTTATTCCTTATATTATCGATATGACACCACATCAAATTATAATTTTTTTTATGAATATACTTTATCAACAAAATAACATTAGGAGATATCTTTTAAAGGAGACCACTTGTCACTAATAGTGTATTGTTCATTGCAAGCTTATAAAACTTTACCTTAGGTAATCAAGTTCATTAATTGATTAATTGTTTAAATTAAATAATTATGCATTTTAGTACAATTTATGTGTGTATGTATGATGTTAACAATGAGAAGCTTGAATTATAATTTATTGTGCCTCGACATTATGTTCAAGTTCAAGATTGGACTCATGAGCTAATTACGGAAAAGATACAATGTGCAAATAGTACAAGGAATACAATGCCAACAAGATTTGCTAAGACAATTTATGTTTTAAACTAGAGAAAGGAAAAAGAAACAAATTAAACAAGGGTGGACTTCAATTTGGCCCACACAATGTTATAATTATTGAGATACAACAACTAGTTCAACACATATGAGACTTGTGTTTGGCCATTCGCATAAGGTGGTCCCTGTGAGCAAGGTTGGTCAATAATTACTTTTACTTATTATGTACTCTCCTTCTACATGCATGTTTGGCAGCTAATTGTTCACTTACCTTATTAACCATATGTCAATTGTGGGTTGTACTCTTGCAACAAATCATTTACTGATCCATGAATGCATAATTTGGTATCACGTGGGCAAATCATGTAAATTAGGGAATTTATTTGAGAATTAGATGAAAAAACGGAGTCTTAAATTGTAAATTTCAAAATGAGACATGAAAACAACAAAAAAAAAATGCATCAAAAATTCGTCAACGCCAATGTTTTCAATAAGGAAATGTATTTTGTAATATTAAATAAATCCCTACTTTACTTTATTCTCTTTAATCAAATCATAATGAAGTTCAAAACTTTTTTTCAACACCTTTTGTTGTAGTTAGCTTCTCGGAAGCAATTATTATAATTCTTATTTTATATTATTCGACTTCCCCCCAAAAATCCTTATTTTACTTCTGGGGCAAAGAAGGTGTAAAATCAAGATTTCTGCAGCACGCGGCCGAAATTTTCATGGTAATTACAGCAATGACGGCAGCACTACCGACCCATGTTTTACTTGCAACTAATAAGGATTCGAGGGTTGATTTGCAGGCCGCACCAATCAAAATCCACGGAAGGGTCCAAGTCTGAAAGCCACCAATAAAAGTGAAGACGCGGTTCCCATTTCCTAAAAAACCTAAAATCAATATTTTGGTGTTTATCTCTGCCGCCAACTTGCCCGTACAATTATACCATATAAACCAGTTTGGCCTCTGGAGTTTTAGCCAACCATTTTCTTTTCTTATAGGGTAAAATTGTAATCTCGGTTCTTGTTCAAGACAAGATATTTGGGATAAATTTCGATTGAGAATTGTGAGGTGGTTGTTCTTTGAAGATCCAACAACTATCATCTTATTTATCTTCCCTCCTCGCATTTTTTTTCGTTTGTTTAGTTGGATTTTTGTCCTGAATTCTTTTGTTTGTCACTTTGCTTTCTCTTTCTTTCTTTCTTTCGTTCCTTTTTTTTCCTTTTTCTTCACGTATTCTGCTCTTCTTCTCTCTGTAGTCTGTCCTCTATTTTCGTTCTCTAGCCTGAGGGAGACCCAGAGGCCAGAGGACGTCATTCTTGTGAAAACTCCTTCTGGGTCTTCAATGGCGAGCTGGGTTTTATTAGAATGTGGGTTAAAGCCTCTGCCTCATATCTTCCTCAAACCCAGAACTGGATTAACCTCCCATAAGCTTAGAGCTCTGCACCCAAACAAGACTATGACAGATCTAAATCTGTCTCCAATCAGATTATCATGTTCCCATTTTAGAAAGCGAGACTGGGGGCTGAACGTGAGTGTTCCGTTGAGGGTTCCAACTATTGATGGAGAGGAAAAGGAGGGGCGAAATGAGAAAATAAATGGCGCAAGTGAAATTGGAGAAGAACAAGGGGGAGGAGCCGAGTTCGATCCTGGTGCGCCACCTCCATTCAACCTAGCTGATATTCGAGCCGCCATTCCAAAACATTGTTGGGTAAAGGATCCATGGAGGTCTATGAGCTATGTAGTGAGAGATGTTGCTGTGGTTTTTGGCTTAGCTGCAGCTGCAGCTTATCTTAATAACTGGGTAGTTTGGCCTCTTTATTGGGTTGCTCAGGGAACAATGTTCTGGGCTCTGTTTGTTCTTGGCCATGACTGGTAATGAAAAATGGTTTTCACTGACTCACTTCTTTATGTTTTGGTGCTTAATTTTAGTATTCACTTTGTCATTTTAATGGTTGAATTTCAATTTGGCAGTGGTCATGGAAGCTTTTCAAACAATCCTAAGCTAAACAGTGTAGTGGGGCATTTCCTGCATTCTTCAATTCTTGTGCCTTATCATGGATGGTATGATACTGGACTTGCCAATCTTCTATTTGGTATAATGTTTATGATGTATTTTGGTAAAAACTTTATTGGTTTGATTTAAGTAATGAACTTGATAAACCAAATGGACTTTTATTGGATCAATTTTACAGGAGAATTAGCCATAGGACTCATCACCAAAACCATGGACATGTTGAGAATGATGAATCATGGCATCCGGTCAGTTGTTTTTCTCTGTTCCTGATTCGGATAATGTATTTTCAGTTCCATTTTAGTCCTTAATAAAGTAAAATCTTTGCCTGTTATTTTCTTTCACTGCCTGAAAAATCTTCAGAGCTTAAATATGTCACTAGGACTCTGCGTTTCACATTGCCATTTTCCCATGCTTGCTTATCCTTTCTATCTGGTAAGTATGGGGTGATTTTACTTGCTTAATTTGACCATGAATTTAGAGATGGAATACTGATGTAAGTTCTATTTGCAGTGGGGTAGAAGTCCTGGAAAATCTGGTTCTCACTTTGACCCTAACAGCAACTTGTTTGTCCCGAGTGAGAAGAATGATATAATAACCTCCACTGCTTGTTGGACTGCAATGGCTGCTTTGCTTGTTGGGTTATCTTTTGTGATTGGTCCACTTCAATTGCTTAAACTCTATGGAATTCCATATTGGGTAGGTTTCGTATTTTCCTATCTTCATATTTTCCATGTTGTAGAATTGGAAGTTGCCTGCATTTTCATTGTTGATTAAATGGACTTTTAACTTCTAATTTGGCTCAATTTTAGATTTTTGTTATGTGGCTGGACTTTGTGACATACTTGCATCATCATGGTCATGAAGAGAAACTTCCTTGGTATCGTGGAAAGGTATGGTACAGACATCATTGTCTCAACACAATTTCTTTCCAACTTTTGATTGTTTTGTTTAATCTATGAAAAGAGTTGGATATATGGATTTGGTAATGAGATTGAGAAATTTGTTCTGGAAAATGCCATGGAAATCTCATCTGGTTCTTCTGATGTTGAATCTCCTCAATTTTGTTGGACAGGTATGGAGTTACCTAAGGGGAGGACTTACGACGCTTGATCGTGATTACGGATGGATCAACAACATCCACCACGATATTGGAACCCACGTCATACACCATCTCTTTCCTCAAATTCCACATTACCACTTAATAGAGGCTGTAAGTCTTTTATTTGCTAAATCCACTGTCATTTACTTTAATTTTGTTGTCTGTCCATCTCATGTTAATCCATTTCGTTACTATTTTCTATCTGTAGACCGAGGCTGCCAAGCCAGTACTTGGGAAGTATTATCGGGAGCCTGAGAAATCAGGGCCATTACCATTTCACCTGATCGGAAGTTTAATTAGAAGCCTGAGGATCGATCATTATGTTAGTGACACTGGGGATGTTGTTTATTACCAGACTGATCCTCAGCTCAGTGGCTGTGCTAAATCAGACTAAGTATGAGCTTTGATACTTCCAAGGCTACTGCAGCTATCAATGTTTCTGCATTAACTTGCTTAACCTTTGTTCCAATGGCAGACTGCAGCCATGATTTAAAAGGCTTGACCTTCCCATTTTGAAGGGCGATTAGATTGATCCCTTGAAAGGGTAATGCAACTATCTTGTGAACAAAGCAAGATTATAATTTATGTGTAGGCTGTAAGATGTATATTTATTCTTCCTCTGGAAGTATTCTTTTTTCAAAACAGAAGAAAATTGATCACAAGATATCAATAAAATAACGATTTCCCTTGTCTCATTCTTTTATGTAATCATTAGATCTTATGAACATTGGAAGGGGGATTTTGTTAGAGAAGAAAAAAAGACGGTTTTAGTTGAGATTATTTTTTACTCAAATTTATTAGAGAAAAAAAAAAGAAAACTCACTAGGTTGAAATTATTCTTTTACTTACTTAAACTTAATTATAACAAAAGAATTAATGGAGTAAAAAGTAAGATTTGTCGTTTTAGGAATATAAGTATTATTCCAACTATTTAATTATTTTTATTTTCGAAATAAAAAATTAATATTTATATTTTTAAATTATTATATTATTAGTGTAACAATATAATATGTATGATTATTATAATAATCAAAATTATTATAAAATTTAATTTAAAATTAAATTAATTTATAAAAAAATTTATTAAATAATAATAATTAAAAAGAATAAACATATATATGACATATATATGTAAATATTTTAGTGTTAAAAAGAAAAAAAAAAAAGGAATAAATGAGTCCAAATAAATTTGGATGTCTACGGGAGAGTACAAAAGTAACTCCTCCACCCATGCCACTTATATGTATATATATATGATGTATATATATGAGTGGGGGGTTTTGAAAAAAGGGGGAGAGGTGTACTAGAAAATCAACGGCACACATAAAAGAAAAATTCTTTTAAAAAAAGTTTTAATTCATATATTATTCAATTTATTTTGTGTGTTCTTAATTTTTGTATATATATGAATAGAGTGTTTATATTTTTAAACAATTTTAATTAAAAATTTATTGTTAAATATGTTTTAAATTTAATTTTTAACTTGTAATATAATTTTTTAAGTATAAATAAATTAAATTAAATTATTTTTTATTTTTTATTACGTGTAATGCACGTGTTACAATCCAACATTAAAATCTTACTTTATTTGTATTAATAATTCTTTTACCATTTAATTAACTCCTAAAATAACAAAAATTATTGGTAATGAACACGGAAAAAAGGTAAATAAATAACAAAAACATCATTATTATACTAAATCATACTTTACAATTGAAACATCAATGTTTAGAGGCTGTCACAATTTAATTGAAATAAGTGGGTAATCCACCTGAGAGGGGTTATTGTCGTTTAAGATTTGACATGTCATTTTCTGCTAGTTGGGCAATTATTATTTTCTGGCCTTTCAAAAAAAAAAAAAAAAAAAGAACAGGAAAATCATAAGGTGGTGAATTGCCCACATCCATTTTTCTTCACGTCTCTAATGTGTCTCAATGAACTAGCGGTTCACATCAGCAAGTAGCAATTGAAGTTTTCGCCTACACCATCCACTTTGATTTAATCATATGAAACTAACAGGATTTTTAGACACACATGTGGTAAGCAGATTCTTCAATCTTTTCTATTATAAGGAAAAAAAGAAGCAAATTTCATATTAATTCTTTAATTATGAGTTATACCGTATTTTATGTCAAAAAATTTTATAATTTAATATTATAATATGTAATATATTTTTTTATTATTAATCATCAAATAATATTCAAAATAATTATTTTCTCTATATTTTTTTTAAAGAAAAATATATCTTTACTGATCAAATATGAGAGATCTTACGAGAGAGAGTAAGGTGACCAAATTAAGAGTTTCTTAATCAGCTATTTGGAATTTAGGTATTTTAAACATTTAATTATTCAGTATATGACAACCTTTTATAGTTTTTAAGAACTCAACTAAATTAAAAAAAATATGAGATTATCTAAAAAAATTATCATATATTAACAAACTAATTTCTAAGTTGCCTACCAGTACTGTTAGTTGATACCAAAAAATTAATTGTAAATCCCACTTTATAAAAATATTTCAATATTTTTATCAAAAACTTCAAGTCTATGATGACAAGAGAGCTTGCAATTCTACTATTTGGTTGTAATTTTACATATTTTTATAAAACTATTGTACTTGTCTCAATTTCTATAAGTTGTGTTAGTACTTGTCCAACTATCATTTCCAACTAATATATTAAAATTGATATTTAACTTTTTCTTTTTAACAGTCTACAATGTGGATTCTAATTAATTGAGTTCATTTAGTAAGATCGAAAGTCAGCCTTATATGTATGCCACCTGTATTATTCTCTCCCTCTAAACTATTTTTAAATTTTTACACTGAGTAAAAAAGATTATATCCAATGGTATTATATAATATCTACCATAATTATATATAAATATGTAAAAATCATTTAAAAGAGTTGTAAATAATTAAATAGATATGATGAAATTAAAATTTAAACATAAAATTAATTAAATTAAGGCTTTGAGGGCTTAACTGAAGAAATTTCAGGAATTAGAGGGTTTTATAAATGTAAAGAACTCAATGAATATTACTAATCATCAAATAATATTCAAAATAATTATTTTCTCTGTGCTTTTTTCTTTTATAAGAAAAAAATATCTTTACTGATCAAATATGAGAGATCTTACGAGAGAGAGTAAGGTGACCAAATTAGAAATTTTTTAATCAACTATTTGGGATTTAGGTATTTTAAACGTCTAATTGTTTAGTATATAACAACCTTTTATACTTTTTAGAAACTCAACTAAATTAAAAAAATATGAAATTATCTAAAAAAATTATCATATATTAACAAACTAATTTTCGAGTTGCCTACCAGTACTGTTAGTCAAGACTAAAAAATTAATTATAAATCCCACTTTATAAAAATATTTCAATATTTTATCAAAAGCTTCAAGTCTATGATGACAAGAGAGCTTGCAATTCTACTATTTGGTTGTAATTTTACATATTTTTATAAAGACTATTGTACTTGTCTCAATTCCTATAAGTTGTGTTAGTACTTGTCCAACTATCATTTCTAACTAATGTATTAGAATTGATATTTAACTTTTCCTTTTTAGCAGTCTACAATGTGGATTCTAATTAATTGAGTTCATTTAATAAGATCGAAAGTCAGCCTTATATGTATGCCACTTGTATTATTCTCTCCCTCTAAAACATTTTTTAATTTTTACACCGAGTAAAAAAGGTTATATCCAATGGTATTATATAATATCTAACCATAATTATATGTAAATATGTATAAATAATTTAAAAGAGTTGTAAATAATTAAATAGATATGACGAAATTAAAATTTAAATATAAAATTAATTAAATTAAGGCTTTGAGGGCTTAACTGAAGAAATTTCAGGAATTAGAGGGTTTTATAAATGTAAAGAACTCAATGAATATTACTAATCATCAAATAATATTCAAAATAATTATTTTTTCTATGCTTTTTTTTTAAGAAAAATATATCTTTACTGATCAAATATGAGAGATCTTACGAGAGAGAGTAAGGTGGCCAAATTAGGAGTTTTTTAATCAACTATTTGGGATTTAGGTATTTTAAACGTCTAATTGTTTAGTGTATGACAATCTTTTATAGTTTTTAGGAACTCACTAAATTAAAAAAATATGAAATTATCTAAAAAAATTATCATATATTAACAAACTAATTTCTGAGTTGCCTACCAGTACTGTTAGTTGATACCAAAAAATTAATTGTAAATCCCACTTTATAAAAATATTTCAATATTTTTATCAAAAGCTTCAAGTCTATGATGACAAGAGAGCTTGCAATTCTACTATTTGGTTGTAACTTTACATATTTTTATAAAACTATTGTACTTGTCTCAATTCCTATAAGTTGTGTTACTACTTGTCCAACTATCATTTCCAACTAATATATTAGAATTGATATTTAACTTTTTCTTTTTAACAGTCTACAATGTGGATTCTAATTAATTGAGTTCATTTAGTAAGATTGAAAGTCAGCCTTATATGTATGCCACCTGTATTATTCTCTCCCTCTAAACTATTTTTAAATTTTTACACTGAGTAAAAAAGATTATATCTAATGGTATTATATAATATCTACCATAATTATATATAAATATATAAAAATCATTTAAAAGAGTTGTAAATAATTAAATAGATATGACGAAATTAAAATTTAAACATAAAATTAATTAAATTAAGGCTTTGAGGGCTTAACTGAAGAAATTTCAGGAATTAGAGGGTTTTATAAATGTAAAGGGCTCAATGAATATATTTCAAGGAAAACGGGGCCAAAACATAAATGTTAAAAGTATGAGACATGTGGCAAAATTAGGAACGGACGATCAAGATTTGACCGCTTAAAAGCCGATCCAACGAATCCTAAACGCGTATGATCGGACGGTCCAGGGAGATTCCCGCCTAGATAAACGGCTTTGATGAAGAGGCGAATCGAACGGCTCAGATTCACTCTAATAAGATCGGACGGCGGGACCTAAAGGCATAAAAGGGGAACCCCAATTGGAAATTCGAGGGAGAGCCGAAATCGGGAGAGAGGGAGGGAAGAGCCGAGTTCGGGCGGAAGAGAGAGACGTGTGCCGGCGACCTAGAAGAGAAGAGGAGAGGAAGAAAGAGAGGAAGAAAGAGAAAAAGAGAGAGAGGAGGGGGGACGTCGCGAAGAGGGAAGGCTGGAAGAGAAAATAAAGGGAAAGAGGAAGAAGAGGGAGGCGGCGGATCGACGGAGAGGAAGACGAGGAGTCGCGACCGTGAGACGACCCCGAGACCAGTGATTTCCGAGAGCTAAATCGCGCCTAACGCCTGTGGTTAGTGCAGCGTCGACCACCGAGACGTCGACAAGTGAATTCTTTCCTTTTTGTTTGTTTCACCTTGCGTTTTGACGAAGATTAATCATGCCGACGTGCTTGCAGGCGGAATTCCGAGGCCAAACCGCGCATTCCGGCTCGAAATTTGCCTCGTGTTTAGGAACCCGACTTCTCTGGGTTGAAGGAGATCGGTTCTGGGTATTCTCCGGAAACCTCTTTAGAACCAGAGCCCGTGCCGTCGGTAAATTACCCACAACCCTTCACTGCTAATATTTTCCTTTTATATTTAATTCATGTTTGTTAAATTAAATTTGATTACGCTTGGCTGTAGTGATTCTAAGCTGTTAAGTGAGCGTTTAGGACGATCTGTGCGAAGGAGTTTGGTAAGTATTCCGTATTCTGATCCTGAGATGGTATTTGAATTCTATGCATGAAAATTATTGATTTTGTGTGTTTGAGCACAGGACAGGTACTGAATTGATATCCTAATGAAGAACAGAACCTGGACACTTTCCAGGCAGTGGGAACTGTCAAGAATGAGTTTGGGAACACTTGATTATTCCTGGTTAATGCATCATTGGACATTGTCACGCTTGATTGTGTAACATGTGACAAGTGAACCTTAGCTTGTGTGGGAATATGAGGAGTATGGAAACCAAAAAAATTAAAGATTGATAAATGTGTGAAAATTCGTGATAAGAGATAATGGAGACAGAACTTGAAAATAAAAATCTATAAATTTAAAAAGAAAAACAAGTGCAGTGAAAGATTGAAAAAAAAGAAGTGAACATAAGAAAACAAATAAATAGAAAATGGATTAATTATAATTATAAAATAAAATGAAAAAAGTTAATTTAAAGTAAGAAATAAAAAAAAGAAAGAAAATTGGATAAGAAAGTAAAAAAAGAGAGGGATTTGGTTGAAGTGAAAAATATATGGACTTTCAAACACCTTACTTGTTTAATCTACATCGAAGAGGGGAGGGTATGTATGTGGTTGAAGTTCACTGGAATTGTGGTGAACTTACATATGGATAATTATGTGAAACCTAATCCAAACGTCGATAGATATTTTGTGAGTGTAGGTCACCTACTAAATCTACTTGCTGTGGCAAATGTGAGATTGTGTGTGTGCTATCCATGTATTGGAAGGATCATTTTCGTTCCTCAACGATTATGATATAAATGATATCGTGCGATGAAATCATAGATGTGATTTTCCTAGTATAAATATGTTATCTTGAGTGTATTTATGATATTTCAAGCATTTATGTGATATTCGAGTGTAGAAATAATATTCGAGTGTAAAATGATATTAGAGTGCAATTGTGATATTCGAGTGAAATATGAGAAATTTTGAGATAAGAATTGATGTTAAAAATAAATGAATTATTTAAATGTAGAATTATTTAAAAGCATTGTGTAAAATTATAAAGAATTATTGATTTAGGAAATTTTAAATATTGCATTTATTACATCTATGCGTGTGTTTGCATGATGCCTGATTTGAGTAGAGAATAACGAGAATACTTACTGTGTCAATAAAGCTTATTAAATTTTACCCCAGTATTTTTAGATAAGGTGAATCTGAAGCAATTGTCGAATGAGTGAAGGACCCGTGAAAGTGTCCTGATCAGTGTACATTTTGTTTTCATTTTTATTATCGCATTGTTTTGTTAAATTCTATGTTTTAACCTCATGTTATGTATATATAAATGTTGTATATATCACAAGGGATGTGAGGTTTTATTTTGAACTTTCAAGCTGCGCATATGGGTGTTTTGTGGGCTCCATCAGTTGGGAATGATATGAGTACGTTTGTGCCTCGTTATTAGGGTTCAGAGAGTTAGAGGTGGTATTAGAGCCCATATTTCTAGGATTATCTCTTGTGCATGAGGTTTTAGAGTTTAAAATTAGACATCTGTAGTTTGAACACCAACAAATGTTTTTGATAATTAACTCGAAATATTCTAAACATTTTTTTATGGAATTGCAAAATGGGATGTGGGGGATCTCCACCATGACAATGTCCTGATTACACGTCCCTGCGAGAAGATATTGATCATCTGTACCACATGGTTGACATGATTACCAATGTCAATCAACCTAGAGAAGATAGAGAAGAGTTACCTGGTCCTCCCCAAGTACCAGCTCCACGTGATCCATAATCACCAGTTATGGATCTAGGTTGTTATGGGAGGTTCATGAGACTAAATTCTCAAACTTTTTCCGATTTAAAGAACTTTATTGAGCTGAGGGATGGTTGAAATCAATTGAGAAGGCATTCAGAGTTTTAGGTGTGACCACCGAGAAAAATGTGATCCTTGCCACGTATATGGTCATGGGTGAAACCAAGTGCTACTGGGAGCTCATGTAGACCACCTTACCTACTCCCATCACTTGGGAGCGGTTTTTGGAGGCGTTTAACACCAAGTATTTCCCTGCACGTCTTCGACATCAGAAAGAGTGGGAGTTTATGCAGCTAACTCAGGGGAACTTGTCAGTAGATGAGTACGCTTGGAGGTTTATTGAGTTGACTCGTTTTGCCTCAACAATCATAACTGATGAAGGACATACGGTAAGGAAGTTTCAGTGGGGATTACACCTATAACTTCAGGATCAATTTACAGTCTTGGAGCTTAATACTTACGTAGAAGTCCTAACTAAGGCAAATATAGTAGAGAACAGACTTAGGGCTTCATTATCAGGAACAAACAATTCCAAGCCTTTTGTAGCTTTAAGGAGGTCGACTTCAAGGTTTGATCCATAAGATAAAAGACCTAGGGGGACAATAATAACACCTCCTAGACCCCAACAACACTAGGTAGGGCATCGACATGTCCTAGTTAAGAGAAGAATCATGACAACCAGCTATGCTATCGCACCACTCGGTCCTACTTTAAATGTGGGAGCCATCAACATATGATTCACAATTATCCATTCATGACGGAACAAACTAGAGCTCTAATGTGAGGACGTTGTATAACCTTACTGCACCTGATGTTGAAGTGAATTTGGACGTCATCCAATGTACGTATCTTGTCTCTAAGAATCTAGCTAAGGTATTAATAGATTCAAGTTCCACACACTCATTCATGTCACACACTTTTGCATCATGATTGAGTGTTATGCTATTTTTTTAGACAATATCTTGATGATATCTACACTTGCTGAGAATGTATTACCTTATGATGTTTTATATAAAGGTTGTATAATAGAGAGAGGTGGGAGGGAACTAGAGGTAGACTTAGTACTTCTAGATGTGAAGGATTTTGATGTAATCCTAAGAATGGATTAGTTAGCAACTTACTATGCAACTTAGACTGCTATCATAAGAAAGTTATATTTAATATTCCTAATGAAGAGCCATTTACCTCATAATAGAATGATGTTGTTTATAACAAATTATTATCTAAATCATACAAATTAATTTCCATGAATTGTTAAATCTAACATGTGGAAGTTAATGTGCTAGGCAATAAAAATAAAGAGATTAATCTTCATGATGTACCAATAGTATAAGAATATCCAGATGTATTTCTTGAGGAATTTCTAGTGCTGCCACCAAATTGCAAGATAAAAGTTCTCTATTAACTTACAGCTGAGTACTCGGCTTATCCTTATGGCTCCCTACATATTGGGAAGGGTTGAGATAGAAGAGTTAAAGAAACGGTTAAAGGAATTCTGAGAGAAAGGATTCATCCCTCCTAGTGTCTATTCTTGGGGTGCTCCTGTAACGTTTGCGAAGAAGAAAGATGGAACTAATCGAATGTGCATCGATTATAGAGAGCTCAACTGAGTCAACATCAAGAATAAGTATCATCTATCAAGGATTGACGATCTTCTTGATCAATTGTAGGGTGCTCAGATCGTTTCTAAGATTGACTTATGGTCTTGTTACAAGCAAGTGAATATTAAAGCAAAAGATATTCTCAAGACTGCTTTCAGAAATAGGTATGACTATTATGAGTTTCTCATCTTACTTTTTGGGGTGACAAATGCCCCAACGGTATATATGGATATGATGAATTGAATATTTAAACATTGGTTGGGCCGGTTCGTCACTGTATTTATTGAAGAC